GCTTGCATGAAATACACGCCTGAAAGTCGAAAGAGATGGATATATATGGCGATAGTAAACATCGGAGAACAGCAGTCTTAGTGTAACCATTTCGCTTCGCCAAGAAACCCAATACTCCTGTTGGTTCCCTAGTCACCGTTACATATTTCGGCATTCCCTTTACTTTCAAAAGGAAAGGAGTCTTCAATCACTGACACCGCCTGCCCAAACTGCTTGAAGAACCGGCCCCTCGCCCCGCTGTAGCCGCACCAAAAAATGGAGATCACTAGGGACTACCTGATACCGAGCATGACATATTCGCTCTCGCTCAGCCAAGATCACCGAAACACGCTCAGATTATTAGACAACAACATCAGACAGCACATTCTCGGCTGGTTACATTTACCAAAGCACCTTCAGGTTAGCTACACACAAGCCGGTAAACTACATGGAAGACTTGGTATCACAGGTTCGAATGCAACAATCCCGATGAAGCGGAGAAAGCATATAGAAAAGCTCCTTTCTATTCAGTGTCGTGTACTACGCAACGTGGTCAGCGATTTCGGATTTTGCAAAATTGTTCGGGTTCTCAGGCTTCCAATAAAAGTCTACGCGTAAACACAAAGGAAGACCTGATTGCTGCTTCGGGTAATAGTCTGCATATCATCGTTGGCGATCGCGGTTTAGGAAGGGTGTTGGTTCCGCCTAATTCAAAAAGATAAGTCGTACCTCCAGAACGAGTATTTCCGCGAATATTTATCCGCAGTATCCAGCTTCAATGCAACTTGCTCAGGACAAGAGTTAGAAGCGCTTTGCATGGTCACGGTGACCAGATAGTCATATGTCACGGAAACTGTGGCCAGTCGGATAGTTTGGTGCATATTTTGCAGTCCTGCTGGAAACCACATGACACAAAATGTGCTTGCCATAACCGGATTGCAAGGGAACTCGAAAAACCTCATCGTCGACTGGGATACACTGTCTACGAGTTGAGAGCTCTTACTTCGACGTCCTTCATCAAACCTGACCTAATCGTTGTTGGAGACCATCGAGCAAATTTAATAGATGTCAACATAGTGTCGGATGGGCGCAGAGTGACTGTGTGGAATGGGATGAATTAGAGATGTGCTGGTGAATATTCCCTTGCCATAATTTTAGATCTATTTGAAACCGTTTGCGATTTCGACTTTTGAGTCCATCATGTGATGATCGTCTCTTATCCTGGGATATGCTTTCCTCAATCCGCTAAGTCTGTCATCGGACTGTAGCTTCCTAGGTTCACAAAGAGTGGCTTGCATTTCCCGAACAATGTAGGCTCTACGTAATTATGGCACGTTTGTGGATGGTACATGGCGTATAATGTACATTTTTGCCATTCAATCTCACATCAGATCCAGAACACTCTCTGCTTGGTGTTTAGTTCTTGGTTGTGCTTGCGCTTACCACACCATGAAGAACATTCAATATAATCTGTCATTTCTTCGGTTGTTGGCCTTTAGGCGCATGTTTCCATCTCAAAATTTTCAAATACGTTGTCCCTCATTTCACCTGATGGGAACGTTGATGGCATGAATCTGAGTGAGATGCTACTCACTTTTCTCTCATTCTCCCGCTAGCCTTTCACTGGCATTCACTTTTTATGTCTGCGACCGTGCTCTTCAAAATGAATGATGACAAATATGACATAGTGGGAACATTTCTGGGTAACACTCACTTAGGAACTAGGTCACCGAGCTACCTAAGTTTTAAACCTAAAATTAGTTGTTGAGGCACAAGATAAGGGAGACGTAGCTGCTGATACTCTGCGGTGAAAAACCGATTGTAAGAAGTCCGAAAGCCTTCTGTATCCGGGATGGCATAAGGTCAGAAATTTTTATACCCTATCTTGGAATAATTGTACAAAATACCCCCGATAGAGCCAAAACTTTCCAGCCGTCGTTGTTGAAGAAAACACTCTAAGAGCAATAAATATGGCAATGGGGAGCAAAATTATGTTAGGCAATTTTTTCATACTACTTATATCAAGACAAAATGGAATTTAGTTGAATAATTGTGGAATGAAACGTTTCAATTTTCATCCTCTGAATAGTTTCCGGGTAGAATGAGGACATTCTCTTCCACCGGCTTTCGTCTACAAGGTGTTCGCTTCTAGTCATATTTCGCTAGGCAAGATTCAGAATACATAATTGTTAATCTGGCTGAGGAGCATGTGGACTTCACATTTTTAGTGTGCATGCAAATATAAGCAAAACAAGAGGGAGGATAACTTCACCGGATTGCGAAAGATTTTTTCCTTAAAATGTGGCCTCTCGCGGCACCAGTCAACGCGTAACCACGTGATGTGGCTTTCGTCAATGAATGATTAGTGGTGATAGTGAGAGTTAATCACACTGCTGAAGAGTCGCTCTAAGCTAAACGGTCCAGTGCTGCAAACACAAATTGACCGTCCCGGGTTCGGTTCGAAACAACCTGGGATTTCGTGAGATGCCCACAGCTCATAATTTTCAGCTAGGATGAAACGAAATTGCAGTGCATTTCACCTTTTAAACACTCACTGATTTTCTTCCAAGAGGAACTCTCCAACAACGACTCGAAACTATTTTCGTGCCATCGAAAATAGGGAACTGCATCTCTCCTTGATATACTCGTAGGACCCTCGAGCAGTTTGAAAACCCTATCTGAGAGAAGTCCGCCTCGAATTAGTGTCTGACACTGAATACCGAGAAAACATACGCGTGGTTTTGGGACACACAAACGATCGGGTCTTTTCTGCCTACTTCAATCCAGTGAACACATTTGTTGACGGGAAACGCTTGCTGAGTAGTGGTTCACTGTTCGCGTTCCAGTTACAGTTAAAACCTGCGTGGAATAACTTCGATAAATGCGATAAAATGAACCGTAAATGAGAACAACGCACAAGTCCAGTCGTTCGAATGTTTATTTTCGATAGGAATTTCGGTTTTGCATCTGAGCTAGATGTTTGCCGAGCTGTCCACAAGTCCTGTTTGTGATAGGGAGAATGCCTCCGAGCCAATATCGCAACACTCTCGTTTAAATCCCGCTGCAGTGACCAGTTGAATCATGATGCAATGCACTTGGGATTGACTGGATACCTTCGCGTAACAAGCGACTTTCTCCAACTTTGGCAATCCGTAGTTGAATGGTGGCACTCAGAGTGAAGGTGTCGAAAGTTACTGCCGAACGACTCATCCAAAATTGTCTAGTGCGTGATGGAACAAAATGACCGTGGGAAACCGTTAGCACCCACGAATCTGTGATCCAAATCGAGAGGCCCCCAACCTGCTTCCTCGTTGAGGGTAAAAAAACAGAATTTTGGTTTCTACAGTAGAATTTCAGCCTCGTATAAACACTGCAAACACGGTTCATTTGGAGCAATATTGTTCTTTGTTCACAACTCTGCCTATAAATCCGCGATAACTGTGTATGTTGTGATCATGTGTTTGCCGGGCTTCTGGTGTGATAAAGTGGGGAAAGTCAAGTGATTCGGTCTTTTCTTCTCATCGCGATCATCGTCCACATCATAATCATTGAGGTCGACGTAGCATCAGTGTTCGCCACTGATACTTCGCTGCCGTAAAATCAGTTTTTAGATGGACGACTTATTGTAAAATAGGCAACACAGCTGAATGCTTAATAGATTCGCCTCAAGCCGACAACCCTGTTTCAGGATGCCTAAACCTCCAGACGCTCATTCAGACAGTCTGGATGGAAACGGACAACAGGATCGCATATGAGAATGGATGGCAGCCATATCATTCAGAGCAATCAAAGAGGCTTATTCAGTTTGAAACCACACAAAAGGCAGCAAACGGTTTAGAAGATTTTGAAGCTTCCAATAAATACCGTCAATTTCTACAAAATTTTCGTATGTTCCCAATGAAGTTTCGGGGAAATGTTTTGGTGTGCATATAGGCGTTGGTCATGGTTACCGCTCAACCAGATGCTGAGTCGCTTGTTGTTATTCGTTTGAGAAATTTTGGCCACCTTCCTGAAGGAAGGTCTAATTTCACAGGAGGAAGCCTTGTCTCTGGACGTAGATTTACTCTGCTGTGAAGATGACAAGTATTGGGTTTTCAAGCCTCAACCGAGTCACCATAAACTACTTACCAAGATAGAGAAGGTGAATAATGGCATCAATTCGATATTTTCAGATTCACATTGGTGATTGCTACGAGATCAATTAATTATATGCTGTGGCGATAGTTATCCGTTTTATACAGGAAGGAGGTTTACGCTGACATGCACAGACAACCCATAGTCTCTTTCTTACTATCACATTTTCCTCGATTGTAGCCTCCGTTGCTCATTCTTACACTCAGCATCTTCAGTATTCTAAAGGGACGACGGCATGAGGTAAAATTGACTTTCACACTGAATGGTCTGCTGGAATTTGATTTTTTCCCCAGCAGCGAAACCTTCAGAAGTAGGTCAGATTTCATCTCATCCGTAGAAAGTTGCTTTAGGAAGTTCAAGTTTGCTTGAGAGCTCAGGATAGTTGAGTCGTTGGGCTGGAAATCACTGATCGTGTTTCCAATCAAGCCAAGCCCACAAATCAAAGCTCTTTACATGTTCTGGTGGGTGCCGAATACACATTTCCCTGTGACTTTTAAATAAAAAACCGATTTAATGTTCACATGGACCAAAGTTTGCGGCAAAAGTACTTATGAAGCCAGCTGATAGGTGAATCGATCGATTTTATGCTCAGTAAAGTCCGAAGCTCATAGACCCTCGGTATAATGATACATGTTTGTCCCAGAGAAAACCACAAGTCACCAAAGTGCGCATTGAAGGAGCTTTGCCTAAATGATCAGTCATTGCACAAGGTGACCAAAATAGCAGATCGCACCTTGATTAGCACAAACTTTGTACCACAGACCCATTGGACATTGGTGGAAGGCTTTTTTACACTATCGTCCAAAACGTGTAAGGCAAAGTTTGATTCACAGGAGGCGCTTAGTATAAAATCCCAGACACATGAAGCTACAACTAATCCAGATATAATGCATCACTTTTCGCTCCTAAATGCGTTTTTGTTCTGCATCTACCATGTTGCACGTTTGGAAGCCGCTGGTGCCCACGACTTTTCACTCATATTTAACAACAAGCCGTCAAAGAACTGGGTCGTCCTTGTCGCTGGTTCCGACTCCTGGATAAATTATCGACACCAAGTACGTCTCAGTTGGTTTTTCATTGTTTTGATGGCCAAAACTTTAAACTAACCTCCACACGAAAGGATTATCAAAGTGGATATTTGCACTTATGGTGCTGCGTGATATTGTATCATCTACCTTGGAGGAAATTCAGAGTGTTGTCCGAGATCCAGTACTTGCATCTGTTTTTTGCACCATTCCACAAGCGTAGTGCCCGAGCATCTTGCAGACAGCACTTTGCCGTGGAAGTTAACATCAGACGTCTCCGTTTTCGAGCAGCACGTCGATACTGGTTCTGATAGGGTTGTTTAAACTTAGGTTTAGAGCATTTCTCAATGGTAAGCTGAGGCGTGCTCAACATCCAACTACAGGAATCGTTCAGCATAAATCAGCGAAGAAAAATGTTTGATCCCGCTGCAGAACGGATGGCACCACATATAGCTAATGCTCATATGCTCTGTCGTTGTTGCAGGCTGGTTTGATTGATAGGCGCCATACGGCGAAGTTGATTCGGTTGCTCAGAAAGTTACTCCAGCCGATCTTCAACGCCCAACTATCACGGGCGTCCGCCGTTGTCCATGCATTTCGACTCCGGTCGTGCACCCAAACTTATGAGTCACGGAAGCCCCAATTCTGCCTTATTGTACATTCATGCCTTCGACAACCACAATATTATACGAGGTCGGTTTTCTCCGGTTATTCTCCAAGTTGTTCCAAGAAAGCTATAGTCAGTGGGGTTAACCAATCAGTGTGAAACCCTTAATTGACCTAATCAATACTAGCCCAAGTTGAACAAGCGGCATCGGCTCCCGGATCGCCAGATGAGTGCTATTGGGAGCGAGCGTTAAACTCATGCAGAGATCAGTACAGCAACCGTGATGGGATTTTCAATCCCCTTTTCGGAAATCAAGAAGCGTGTCCAGCGAACAAGAATGATGTTTGGCTTGCTTTCGATTGACAGACGAAATGAAGAACAGAATAATTTCAAAGCACCTGAGGCTGTGGCGACCGAGCTGACCGCGGATATTGCCGTTGACGACAGTGGAAGGCAAACGGATCCCTCAGGTAATAAAAGTGTGCCTACGTGGACGTCGTTTCCACTGGGTTGAGATTGAAAATACCGAATATATGAAAGAGAAGAAAGTAAGAAAGGCTTCAGTAGTAGCCGTTTTCGCTGACTCTGCGGGATGATGGATGATGCGGGTGGATGATACCACTGGCGGCCGATGATGCGTGAGATTATCTGTGGGTGTTCAGTCCGTGATTTTAATTCAGCTGTGCTACTACCAGTGTAAGGAGGAACTTCCTCAACCGCGAAGTCGTTTATTCGCGAACAACAACTAAGGCTTCAGAATTATTGAACACGAAAGTGAATGTCTCATTCAAAGCTGAACATTCTTAGGAGTCTCAAAAGTTAGAGCATTACGCTGTTGCAAACGGACACCGTAAGCAGCTCCACAAGTTCCGCAGTAGTATTCATCTTCCATTAGATGCGGTGCGGGGCTTCGTAAAGTCTGCAGACTACCCGCATGCCCTTCCAGTAATGTCCGCTGTTGCAGCGGGACACCTGGGTATTGAGGAGAGGCCATTTGGTGTCTCCGATTAATGTCTTTGTCGCAAGAGCCTAGTTGCGCCGACGGATTTCCAGATTGGTGGCGTATTATGCAGACAGTCAGAGGAGTAAATCTGACCCACAACATACACCAACTCTAACCAATTAACCAAACTGGCAAAAGTCGAACAGTAACAACTTTTGAGGATCTTTCAGGAGTTCGTTTCATCTGGAAGGGTCGTAGATGAAATATCATCCAAGATCAAAGGAGTCATCCGTGGTCCTTAGGATGATCGCAGTCCTAGGTTAGACACACGGTTGTTCAAGAAATGACCAACCACCGTCACTTAGTCAACGAGCCACCAGCAGCCTGATGCATTCGAGTAAAACCTCAACAAGGAACAGCACAGTCTCCCAGCACAGCGATCATTGCGCCTATCCAGCTATCATTTAAGTGAGGGAAAACTCGCAACATGTGGCTTACTCGGTAGTATTTGACGGTTCCACTAACGTAAACTTGTGAACCCATCCCTACCGTGAACTGCAGACATGCGGTGCAAAAACGTAGAAGGTTTCAACTCTGGTTTGATTCTCCTTGCATAGAGCTTTCCAAGCTTTATCCTTTGGCCGGCAAAGTACTTATAAACATCTTTTTCAGTAGTGCGGAAACTCTTATGAGACTGGTGATAATATTTTTCTAGACAGATCAGGTAATAAGTGACAGATAACAATCGCCGCCGTCATTACCGACAGTTCAGTTCAGTTCAGTTCAGTTCAGCTCAGAGTTCAGTTCAGTTCAATTCAGTTCAGTTCAGTTCAGTTCAGTTCAATTCAGTTCAGTTCAGTTCAGTTCAGTTCAATTCAGTTCAGTTCAGTTCAGTTCAGTTCAATTCAGTTCAGTTCAGTTCAGTTCAGTTCAATTCAGTACAGTTCAGTTTAGTTCAGTTCAGTTTAGTTCAGTTAGGTTCAGTTCAGTACAGTCCAGTTTTCAGCTCGTCCGAATGGCGCTCTTTGACCTTCTTGGCATGGGTGAATCAACTGGAAACTGAGCTCCGGCCGGCGCAACCCGATTTCAAGGACAAGGTAGCCAATGAATCAAGAACAAACATGGAGCAACACAAATCGTAGATGGTACATCCGTTCCTTGAGAAAATCCGCGAAGAGCCGCGTTCCCATATTGGTTGGAACGCTACTTGAGCACTCCACTGATCAGGTGTCTGTGGCAATTGGTTCAGTCTTCTACTAGTCGTCCGAAGTTAGAGCTTTCAAGTCCATCCGGAGAAGCATGAAACAGTGGATGAGTTGTATGTTGGATGTGGATGATCCGGCACAGCCTGGCCTCAGATAAAGGATAAAATCTCGATTGAAAATTCCAGACAATATTTCTCATCTCCGAGACAGCCAAATATCTGACTAGATGTCTGTCGTGCGAAAATCCAAGAAATTAGTTAACGGGAACACAAGTAAGATACAAATGTTTTTGGAAGGAACGATACTCCACCAAGTGTGCATGATCATGTTCCCACAGCTTGCCTTCTTTAGCCGCTGTGCCCCAATCTGCCTGTTATCTCCAATTCACTGTCATTTCTATTTTCTTTCAGGCCAACGTTTAACATGCCTATCACGTCTTGCGTGCAAACAAAATTCCAGCGGAGAATATAATTACCTTCGCCTACGATGATATTGTAAACAATCGCAAGTAAATATCAAGTACACTATCTGCCGTCTGATAGTTACTAGACTGTAGAAATCGCTTCTCTCTATTTGACATTCAAATGTCCCATTTTTTGGCCGTTAATTCCACGGATTAAATCGGTTTGGACACAACTGTGTGTTTTCGTGCGTCACTCAAGATGCGCCATAAAATTTTCCAACCTGTCATGATATTTGATGACAACAAACGCCATATAAACCTGATGCAATCAAAACAATTGATACCAGTCCTAATTGTAATCATTGTGGTATATCCTCGCTTGTGAATAGCAAATTTTAACTTAGCTTTAACTGGCAGAATTCTGAAAGTAACCACACTGATATCTAAATGTCGGTTGAATACATCAGCCAGCTGATGATTTGGAGCAAGTAATAGGCGGACAATCTGGTGGTCTTAACCTGTGTAATACAGGCGATTGTAAGGATTACCGGCGGAAACACTCGAAAGATTCGTTATTGATAGGAGGCTGTTATAATCGGGAATCATTTATTGTCGAATCGAATTGCATACCAGGACAGTGGGTGAGGGTATGCTCATATAATCTGTTACTAATAGTGTTTTGCCTGTATATTTACGCAAAAAATACGTTTTCACGCGCAACCTGTAATATCCTAAGTTGTCTACTCACCGGGATCATTGTGTGATCCAAACACTAGCTAAAACCTAATCGAGAGTGTGACATATGTTGCACTCGTCGGCGTGGAACGTCATTCACAAACAAGACCGGCAACCCAGTTTGAACTGAGGTTGCGAGCATTTTGTTGCCTACAATTTGACTTACAGATTATTTTCTCCAAAAAAACAAGTTGCCAGTTTTCATTCTTTGATTCCAGAAATCCGTTTAAAGGCAAAGTGTTCCATGACTACGAGCAAGAAGATGTCTACAAGGGTGTGGTCATTGACTACCGTGGAAAAGTACGTCAAATGAATTTGTTCACCGCGTACCACAAGGTGCAAATACGGTGAAATTAAGGATAAAAACACAATATCAACCGCAGGGCAAAATAATCAGCTTTACTGTTCTACATAATGCTAAATGTACTTGAACGAACACTAGACATAAGAACTCGGTAAACTCTTAAGCAGCTCACGAACAAGATCAGAATTCCGAATGCGGCCTATCAATTGAGCTCAGTGTATTAGCAAAATTTCCAAAGCCTAGTTCTCAGTCTGAAACTTCCAAGCTAGCGTTCTTGTGAAAAGAACTACCAGAGATGTTCAGCGTCTTCAGCGGAACGCTACTGGCAAACGGCATTCGATGAACAACGGATAAGGAATGACTTTATTTCAATCACAGCTCGCTTTGGCATCCTTTCCGATCAAACTGCCAGGCTCGGCAAACAGAACAACAATCACGTTTTTAGTTTTCCCTATTTGGTGACCGTCTGAAAGTTATCTGAGTGAAAACAGAGAGCAGATCCTAGATTTCTGTTATCTGCTAGACTGAAAATGGATGGGTACTGCGAATACAATAAGTGTGGAGATCACTATTAGCACACAAATAATTGATTATGCGTGTTTATTCTTTTCAGGACGTCAACCCGGATGTCTTTGCAAAAGTACTGAAGGGCGATGAGAAACTTGAAAAAAAGGGAAAGAAGGTGTTGAAAAGGTGAGCTCGTGCGGAAGTTGACATTTTTGCTGCATTGCTGATCACAGCTAAAATACTAATCTTGCAGGTCAGCGTTTTCGGGCTTATGAAACGAGGATTTAGTATTCTCGCAGGACAAGTGATACACAATCTCTTTATGCGAAGCTCCCAGAAAGCACCTAAGGGGATCTGCTCCCTCTAATTCGCATCGTGGTTCACCGACAATACTCTCAGATTCTAAGAAACCTGCCTAGCCTTAGGTTCCGTGTGGTCCCGTAGCATCACGGTTTAACTTTTGAGAATCTTTCCGCGGCTTCTTGACCCGCATATGACGAGAAGTGAAGTGTTGGCTTACGGGTGGAGGCAAGGATACCAGGAAAACGTCATTCATTTGCAAAACATCCATCTCTAATTCCGTCAGTTATACACTCTATGAATTCAGAATCCGTGATTACTGGCTCTCTGTGCGTGTTTACTGATTCAGTATTTCCGATACCTTACGTAGTCTGTTGAGATGTAGGAAAAAGATAATCTATATAGCAGGTAATCAAAGGCAACTAAGTACCTAGCAAAATGAAAACAGAGCATTCACCCAAAAAACTCCGAAAAGCCAGGCTACGATAAAACAGGAAATCAAAATGCAACACTAAACACAGAATTAGGATCAAGAGCCAAATGGATGTGGAGAATTAGGCCGTAGAAATTGGTAGCCGATCATTCAAACAATGAACAAATGGTCCGCAGACAGAATATACTCAAGGCATTCATAGAAATCAGGGAATGCAGACCGTAGGCAGCAACGTCATTTTCAGGAAAAATATATCGTTATGCATATTCTTGGAATACAGACCGCAACGCAATGTAGCCCCAAACGGACCAATAGGAACTAGAGTACGGTATGCCCCTGTCAGCCAGTCAGAGAGGTAAACAGGGACAGCAGACTCAATCATTCAATCATGATGTCATTTAGGTTGGTGACGGAAAATTTGCAAACGTAACACTAGGATCAGAGAACAGATAAGCATGTTCTTGTCCAAC